CCCCCCCCCCCCCCCCCCCCCCCCCCCCCCCCCCCCCAATCAGCGTATTCATGGTTCAGTACAACTTAGTGATAAAGCATGAACTCTGCAGGCTGGGATCAAGACTGACTCTGTTGATTACTAGTTGTGTGAATTTGGGCAAGTTACCTAATCTCACAATACTTCTGTTTCCTCATCCATAAAATGGGGATAGTGCTAGGACTTCACAGTCCTGTTGTGAAGATTACATCAAGTACTCGATGTAGTGAATGGCACCTGGTAAGTGCTGTGAAGTATTAGCTATCATTATTATCTTGCCTGCAGCAGATCACCCGCCCGCTAGTTTCCCAGTTTTTGGCAAATTGTATACTTAGAATTCCTGCTACACGTCTCAAATGAAAGGAACTTAGTTTGCAGAGAGAGAACACATTCTTCCTTTTAGTATTATGCAAAATAATTTGTCTTCAAGGGTAAGATAGAGAAACCCAAGGGCCATAATTAGTTGCTGCTGAATGAATTAAAATTATTTGCTGAGTATGTACTGTGAGCAGAGACAGGGGAACACCAAACCCAGCACTCTGAGGAATTTAAAAAGAAAAAATAAATAAATGAAAGAAATCTCTGGCCTTGAAGAGCTTACAATCAAATTAAGGGAGGTAAATAGAAACAAACGCACTAATTTGAAATAAGTCCCCGCAACATATTACCACGTAGAGAACAATACAACCCACACCAGATGTCACAGAGATCACTGCTAATGGGTCGATGAGAATGGGGAGAGGGGGATGCAGAAAAGGCTCTGTGGTCTTGCAAATTTCAACTCATTTCCCAAAATCTGTAAATTCTGACCCTGACTTAAGATGTCCTTTTGCCCTATTGTTATTTCAAAAATGAAGCCAGGGTGGTTGCCTGAAAAATAACACCCAGGAAAGCAGTGGCTATTAACGTTATTTTCTGTTCTTTTCATAATTTAATGTTACTGTTTGTTTGTCCCCCCCCCCTTTTTTTTTCAGCGTTAAAGCCACACACTGGCGGCGGGGCCCCGGGCGGGCGCAGGGTCCCAGGCCCTCTTCGGGGTCCCTCAGCCCAGCCCCGGCGCGGCCCCACAGCTCTCGGGCGCCCCCCGCTGCCCGCGCCCGGCCCTCACCGGTCTCGCCCCGACTGTAAATGGAGCTGAGCCGGACGTTAAACGAATCTCCCCCTCCTTTTCACCAACCCAACGAACCCCCTCCCCGACCCCAACAAAATCCGAAGAGCAATTAAAAATGAAGTTCGGCCGGGCCTCAGTTTCCCCATCGGTCCCTGCCCTCTCAGTCTCGGCCAGGGACAATCTGTGTCCTCGAAAGCTCAATGATTTTCTGGCCCAAGCAACCCTCCACCTTCGTTTCCTGAGTACTGTGGCTCTTCACACATCAGGCTTCCCACCCTGGACTCTCTACTACCCCTGGTGGCCGCCACCATCTTACCCCGGCTCCCGAGTCGCGCTGAGGAGACGGCCGCCCCGCCGCCACCGTCGTTTTGAACTACATTTCCCATCAGTCCTCTCTCGATATCGCGAGAACTCCAGCAAGACCGCCGAGAAGACCTACGCGCAGGCGCGTTCTCACGTTCTTTTTGAGGTCGACCGCGTGGCTGGAAGTCATGGAGGGTCCTGTCGGTGATGAGCCGGGCGAGCCGCCTCAGGCCTTAGGTGATGGTAAGGCCGCGGAGATGGCAGAACGGGGTCTTCCTTGACAGGAGCTAAGACACATGGCGTCCCCTTCCTCAGAGGCGAAGTGGTGGAGGGTGGTTGGGAGAATTAACTGAGATACTGGATGAGAAAATGCTTTCCAGACGGTGGGAAGCTGGGCCGGCCCGTGGCTCACTCGGGAGAGTGCGGTGCTGATAACACCAAGGCCACGAGTTCGGATCCCATATAGGGATGGCCGGTTAGCTCACTGGCTGAGCGTGGTGCTGACAACACCAAGTCAAGGGTTAAGATCCCCTTACCGGTCATCTTTAAATAAAAAAAAAAAAGACAGACGGGGGGAAGCTGGGCCGGCCCGTGGCTCACTCGGGAGAGTGCGGTGCTGATAACACCAAGGCGATCCCATATAGGGATGGCCGGTTAGCTCACTGGCTGAGCGTGGTGCTGACAACACCAAGTCAAGGGTTAAGATCCCCTTACCGGTCATCTTTAAATAAAAAAAAAAAAGACAGACGGGGGGAAGCTGGGCCGGCCCGTGGCTCACTCGGGAGAGTGCGGTGCTGATAACACCAAGGCGATCCCATATAGGGATGGCCGGTTAGCTCACTGGCTGAGCGTGGTGCTGACAACACCAAGTCAAGGGTTAAGATCCCCTTACCGGTCATCTTTAAAAAAAAAAAAAAAAAAGACAGACGGTGGGAAGCTTTGTTACCGAGGAGACAGCTCAAACCCGCTTTGGCGTCGAAGGGTCCCGCCTGGGGGACGGCGGTCCGTCCAGCCTGCGCGGCCCCGTGCGCCTCGCAGCCACCCACCCTTGTGCTAAGCATGCACGCCCGGGGGTCTCCGCTGTCCGCCCAGGGGACAAACCGTCTGAAAGTGGCAGTTGCTAATTCAGCATCAGGAGTGTTAACGTGTGCATACATAACTTCCACTCGGGGTGCCTTGAGGGCGGCCCCAGTCATTTTTATTTAACTCCACAGATAGTAACCCATGGGATTGTAGGCATTGTCTGGAAAGCCTTAGATTTAACAACGAGCCTGTTTTTCCTCCCCGAAGGCCTTTCTTTCGCATCTGCAGAGATGGTGAAAAGCAGAGCTGGAGGGTGAAGCTTAAAAGTAATTGATGGATCCCTACAGTAAGTAAGAATGGCTGCAGGCAGGACCTGGGTGGTCACCAGAAATGAGAAAACGGCGGTGGTGTAACGGCCTGTCACATACATATGCCTCATACTTTATTCCGAAGTTAAGTTCAAGTGTATGAATTCTTGTTGACCCCTAAGTCCAGTTAAACGGTAAGAAATCTACTCAGAATTCAGAATGCTAATTCTTTTAATTATAAAAACGAGGAGGGTGTATGCCCGTGTAATTTGAGGCCACTAGGTGTCACTGTTTGAAACCGACATGGATGCCACCGTGAGCAGGCATGAAAGGGAGACTTGGAAAATGAGATTGAGTTGGCTGGGATTTACGAATGTTTGTACAGGTTGAACTGAGTATGTTTTGAAATTATCCTTGTCTGAAATGACATCTTTTGTGAGGAATTCTGACTTGTTGAGGTTTAGCTTTTTAATACAAATCTTGAGAATAAACGCCTTAAGGTCGTTTGACAAGCTTGTTATCCTTATTTCTCTTTTAGATTGAAGATGTTGGTTGTGGATTTTGAAAAGGTCCTGTGAAAACCCATTATCTTAAGATGTTGAATGTAAGGATCTTCGTGATGAAATTTCTGTAAACGGTAATATTTTTAGCTCTTTCATATAACTTCATAGGTTATGGTCCCATTTAAGTATTGGTCTGTTAGATTTGGGGATGTGATATCCCAGATAAGGGAAGTAGTATGGAATTATTTTTACTAGGCTCCTTGCCATGCACTCTCACAAACAGTATTTGTTATAACAACCCTACATGAGCTAGGTTTTTTTCTCCACTCTCCTCCTCAGTAAGTAAACTGAGGCTTAGAGAGATCTCTTGCCCAAAGTTAACACAACCAGTTATTAAGATAGATTAGACCAGTGGTTCTCAACTGGGAATGGAGGGTGCTACTGGCATCCACTCTCCTCCTCAGTAAGTAAACTGAGGCTTAGAGAGATCTCTTGCCCAAAGTTAACACAGCCAGTTATTAAGATAGATTAGACCAGTGGTTCTCAACTGGGAATGGAGGGTGCTACTGGCATCTAGTGGATGCTGCTAAATATCCTATAATGCCCAGATCAGCCCCCATGAGAAAGAATTTGTCCACCCAAAATGTCAGTAGAACTGAGATTGAGAAGCTCTCCGAAACTATATTAGACTAACTAGAGATCTGGGCTCCGGCCTGTTACCAGATAACTGCTCTAGAGCCTTGTTTCTTCATTTATGAAACAGGGTCAGTGGTTTCCAAACCTGGTTATACATCGGAACCATCTACAAAGTGTTCAAATGTACACATTCCTGGGCCCCACTAGCCATGGATGAGAATGGCTCTGGAATGGAGCCCAAAAATCATGTGGCCAGTGCAAGAGTGGGCGTACAGGACCAACTGGGTAATCTGATCTGCCTTTAGCTCAAGGATTTTATTGCAGCAAGATTATAGTGCTGGCTATTTTTAAGTAGCTCGTGGGGCAGATCTCTAATCCTCTAAAAAAAACTGAAAGCTGCATGCTTGCTCCTCAGGATAGTTTTGTATATACAGATGAGTGAAGGAGAAATGACCTTGTGTGATGTTGTTGCCTCTTGGCAGCAGGTACCATTTGTGCAGCTGGCCTTCAATAGGCTAGTTGAAATGATCAATGATTTGCACTATCTCAGGCATTTTACTGACACTCTCACTAGAGTGTATACCCCATATTCAGCTGTTAGACACTGTGCTGAGAGTGATCTTGTCTTTAAAGGGGTGGGAACTGTGCATCTACACACTAGATATAAACAGTTTTTGCTCTTGAGGGAAAGCATGTTCTAAGAAAGTAAACAAGATTGATTGAGTTCTCATGAGGGAAGTAAAGCACAATTTGCTAAGAAATATTTTTCATATGCTTGCTATAGCTGTCAGTGCTGTGGGCGAGCAGATTGGTGGGAGCTGAGTCCATGATGATGTAAAGTTATCCCTGTCTGAAGGCAAAAAAAGCCTCTGTGTGGAATGTGGATGTCTGAAACTCAGTTTCCCAAGTTTGCCTTATAGAAAAGTTAGGCATGATTTTAAATGGAACTACTTGGGATTTACCCTGTGTGTGTCTTCTTCAGTAGATTTTTTTTTTTTTTTGTAATTCCTCCTTTCCAGGTACAGCCTCAGCCTCAGTTTCTGAGGCTGAAAAAGGATCCTTAGCAGCAGCACACTGTGGCAGTTGCCCTGGACCCAGACCCAGACCTGAAACCAAAGATGAATATTTCTCATGCATGTAAGCAGAGAAGACCTTCCAAACAGGCTTGGGTGGAGTGTTAGTTCTTTTTGTTTCCCTTGCCCCGGACTTGAGGATATGCTAAGTGGCAGGGAGAATTTAACTTGGTTTTGTTTTCTTTGTTAGGTGTCTGCAGTGTGTGAGACAGAATTGTGAACTGCTTTGCCTGAGGCAAGTGAAAGTATTCCTCTCCTGTTCGTAAGCCTTATGTTTACATCTTTAATGTCCCTTGCCCTACAAGCCTATGATGGTTAGTTATCCCTGTCTGAAAATCTCAACTGAGTGAAAATAATCTATTCTGAGGCTTAAGGGTATGGCCCTGTGCTCTTAAAAGAAGTTCAGGCTTTATATGGGACCAGTGGTATCAAGATGAATGGACTACACTGGGAATTGTGTGTATCCTGCTGAGACCTCAGACTAGTTAGTGCATCATCCCTTTGAAACTTGAAAACCAATGGTGGGGTTGCCCTGTTAATGCTCTAACCCCTTGATTGTTGGCTGTGAAGGCACAGGCTATATGAGGTGGCAGGAATGGGCAAGTAGCCAGGATTTGGTTTATGCTGTTCTTGTGGAATGAAACTGTGGCATATTTCAAGAAAATGAATGTGCTCTTTGAAACTGAGATGAGAATGTAAAATGTATGCCAGCTTGTGGCAGTGAGAATGCTTAGCAACTCTGCCTTTGCCTCTGCAAGGTCCTGACATTTAGGAAAGAAGGGCTACCATGGCACTGGCAAAGCTGTTTCATTTCCAGGTGCCTCGTTAACAACTCCAGGGAGATCTCTAAATTTAGCTTAGATCCTGTCTGAATGGCATGGCTGGCATGGGGCTGCTCCTTGGGCAGCAGAGGCTGGCATGTAAGCAAGAAAGAAGCAAAGTGGTGCCAGAGGCAGGGTGTCTGGCTTTGTTCCCATTTAAAATGCCAGGCTTGAAGTGGACACAGATTGCCTTTCTTTTCTGTTGAAAGTGGGAGGTGTGTGTGGAGTCTTTATATTCAAGGTCACATTTTTGCTCGGTCACCAAGGAAGCTGTATTTGGAGTGAGGTTTAATTGGCCTGAAAACTGGCGCCAGCTTGCCATGTAAAACAAGTGAAAGGGCAGGTTAGCAAGTGGGGAGGATCTACTTCTTTGGTTATCCTCTGCTTGAGTAGACTAGACTGCTCTATAGAACTTGTTAACCTTAAGGTTTGACATTAAAAGGTTTTATATTCAGAGAGTTGAATACATTTGTAAATGTCCCTGGTGCTTTGTGGGAGTTCTTTCCTGGCCACTTACCAGAAACTGCTCCCTTAGAGCACTGTGACCTTAAAACGAGTCATCTTGGAACCTCACCAGCTTGCATTGAAACTATCTGATAGTGAGTGTGCTTCCCCAACACACATGCCTAACATAATGGTGAGAATGAGTGTTCACAGACTGATTGCCATTTTCTCCTAAATTAGTTATTAGTTATAATTTAACTTTTAGTTTTGAGTCATTTAGCTGGCTGTTACTTCAAGTTATTCTCCTTCGGTTTTATAGGTTATCTCCAAGTGACGCCAGATGGGATCAGCACAGCCCTGCTTCTGCTGCTGCTAATTGCAAATGGCTATAAAGTAATCTCCTAAAAAGAATCGTTTAAGATTTCTTTGGGCTTCATATTCAAAAGTATCAAAGGAATTCAAGTGACTGAGACTATCCTAGAAATCTTTGGTGGTTAGTGAGATTAAGGTATAATCAGGAACATTGAGAACTCCAGTTTAGGTGATCTGGGTATTATCTCATATTGGCGGGACTGCAATGATTATAAATTGAGATTAAGTAATTAACATATGTACTCTGTAGGGGTACAGAGCATTCCTCAGGGTGGATTTCCGATGAAATCAGTGTGTCTTGGGTTTAAATTTTGAAGCACAAATAAAGTGGGTTTTTTTTTTTTTCCTTTTTTTTTTGTCTTTTTTTCGTGTCTGGCAACGGACCGCAACCCTCAGTGTCGTGCCCATACCGGACCAGGACCGGCAACGGGATCGCAACCGTCGGTGCTGCGTGCGCCCCTCGCTCAGCCAGTGAGCGGGAACCGGTCTGTGTGTGGGATCCGAACCCTCGGCGGGAGCGCTGCTGCACTCCCAAGCGGCCCATTGTAGCAGTGCGCCACCGGGCCGGCCCTAATTGACTCATTAGCAGTGTGGATTTCAGACTGAGAACTGTGGTAAGATATTTTATTCTATGACTCAGTAAACACATTTTTATGAGTTTCACAGAATAACAACACCAGTTACACAAAATGCAATCTTATGTTTTCTATTTTTTTAATTACCCACACCCACACACACTGCTTCAGCATTTTTATTTCAGATATAATGAAGGGTTGATGAAGGTTCTACTGGTGTCTACAGATGTGATGGTAACGAGGAAAGGTAAAAGTATTGTGGATCACAGGGCAGCAGAGCAGTGCCGCGGTACCAAGGCAGTCAGGTTTCTGTACTGAAAGATCACTGTGTAAGATGCTAGAGTGGACTGTGACTGTCAGGGATACCCGATATATCCCACATTTGACTATGTTCTTTATCCAAACCAAGTATTCTATCCAAAGGAACACACGTACTGCTGCTCTCGAGACCAAGGGGCTGATGTTGCCAAGATAAAGTGGGCTGAGAAACTTTGTCCTGATGCGAGTAACTCAAATATCACTAATTCCCTCTAGTCTAATTCCTGCTCTCCAGGCAATGGTTTCCCCAAGTAGCTGCTTTAATAATTAAAATCCAATGTCCATTCTGCTCATCAGATGCTTCTGAATTGGTTAGTTTGTTTGAAGTGATATTTTGTGTCTAGTGACTGAATTCATCCCTATCCCTTTTGTTAAGTTTGCTAATAGCATCAACTTCCCATTGTGTAGGAAGATGTCTGGTTTAAAAAAAAAAAAATTAACCTTCTAAAACCACAGAGTCAGAGGCTAGATCCAGGGCCTCATTGAATTGACCAATGCGGATTGATGCTGCTTTGGGAAGTCTCTTGCCAGCTACCCTTGTGGAGACAGCTCCCTCTGCCTAGCTATCAAACTGTCTAGAGGCACTAGTCATCAAAACAGTTAACACCAGGGCTTGGTTAAGGACTGTTATAACTTGGTTGGATGAGACTTCCTTAAAACTACTTCCAATAAAAGCCCATAAAATTGTGAAACTACTTATCAGCTAGATGTTTAAATTTATTTCAGTGAAGCCATGATGTGAAGATGACGGTTAATTACCTGGTACTGTCATCGTGATAGCAACAAGATGGTACCCTCCTGTTCTTGGATTCTGAGTGATCTCCATGCTAAACACCCTGCATTTTATGTGCTTTTTTTCTACTTCCCACAACACAAAAAAAGACAAAATTGTCATCCATCACTTATGTAATTATCTAGTCTCAAATTACATTCTGCCTTTTGTTCTCCCACCTTATCATGGGGCAGAAGAAAGTTATCTCAGAAAGGTTCTTAAGAGGTGTCCTCAATTGAGCAGTTGTGGGGCTTGACATGATAGTGGGAGGGCTTGGGCTGGGGAGCATATGTTTGCCTGTGCTGCTGATTAATCTTAGTTAACTGATAGGCCCCGAATCATTCCGCTGACATTCCTGAAGTCGCTCAGTACCAGCTGCTGGCTTCGAGCTGCTTAGTTCAAGTATGCTTGCCCCTTGCTGATGAGGGTCACTATCTCATCTTGGGAGTGTCATCTTCAATTTTAAAACAAATCCAGCAAAGCAGTCTGTTTTCCCTTGGCCAAGATTGGAATGTCTTATCTCAGACCCAGAGAGTTATTTTCTTGGAAGAACCAAGGATAAGACAGGGTGTCCTTAATTGAACAGGCTTCAGTGACAGTCACAAATCCACCTCAGTGCCCTCTGTTGGGAAGAAGAGGAGGGTCAAGGAGAGTTGAAACCCCTTCAAAGGTTGAGAAATCAAGAAAAAGGCTTTTGGTCACTTGAGGGGACCTGGCCACAGTTCTGCAAGAAGCAAAGGGCTCCATGCTTTGTGGTCAGCGTTGGTACAGCCAAAGGATGCCTGCCTTGTGCAGGTCTCTCCACAGGGCAGCTTCCAGGGACAGATCGTGGTTTGCATAGAATATCAATGGCTTCTTTTCTCGTTCGAAATAGTGGTCAGAAAATTTCTGGTAGTTGCTTGTGATGAAGCCGTAGGCACTGACCTGGACAAGGACAGTCATGATAATCTGGAGTTAGTATTTATTGAGCTTCTGCTATATGTAGATAGTGTGCGGTGAGGTGAATTTAGAAAGGTATAGTCCTCCCAACCCTAGGTGCCTGTGAAGGTGCAGATAAACAGTGGTAGTAACTCACAGCTCACAGGCATTGTGCCCTTTCTGCACACTTCCCCACCCCAGTCTTATGACAATAGTCCTCCCAACCCTAGGTGCCTGTGAAGGTGCAGATAAACAGTGGTAATAACTCACAGCTCACAGGCATTGTGCCCTTTCTGCACACTTCCCCACCCCAGTCTTATGACAATCTAGATAGGCCTTATCTCTATTAAATAGGTGGCCAGCTGCCAAAAAAAAAAGGAAAACAGGCTTAGAGGTGACTGTCTCCACTCAACTAGTGAGCAGCAGAGCTAGGTTGGAACTCAGGTGTGACTCCGAAGCCATGACCTTCATCAAGCTCAAGGATGGAGGCAAAAGCCCATTACTACCTTGTCCCAACCTAATAGTGACAGTCAAGAGATTCCTACCATTAAAGCAGGGAAAAGGTGTAAGGCCGGAGTCTTAGAGTGATGTTCGGCCTCCAGCTGTCCTACTGGCTTTAGCATGGGTCAGAACCTGTCCTTGACAACTGCTTCTCCGCCTCTCTCTGCCTCCGCACGGTTCTGTAAGCAACATCCTATCAGGACTGGGTCACACTGTGACTTCAGTTCTTGTGTGTATTTGCATGTGGGAGGCTAACCCTGCTGGCTCACCCCAGTTCTAGGATGTCCCTCCCCAGTTCTGTTAAGATTTTGCTTTCAGAAGAGCAGTTTGATAATTTGCACCTTAAATACCATATAGAATGGCTGGCTGCCTTGGGGAAGCGTGAAAGAGCTGGGGCAGGTGGCTACTGGCTCCAGGGCGAGGCTGGCCCAGTACCATCCTTTAAAGGACACTGGATAACAAGGGCAGAAGGGTTGGCAGTGACATTACTGCAGCTGGGCGATCCTTTCCCCACTGAATAGAGGCCAAGAGTCCCGGGTGTGAGGGTGGCAGGCCTTACGTAAGAGATGTCAGGAGTCATATTCTGTTCAAACCTGGGCTCTGCTGCCATGGGCTCCTGAAAGAGAAGACCTCTTACCTGGTCACAGGTATGCAAAGCTGTCAGCAGCATGAGGGCCCCAGTACTAGGCATATATAGGTCTCCAAAATTTGTGTTAATCAATTTCGATTTCAAAAACCTGGAAACAGAAAGAGGCTTTAAAACTCGAGGAAGACATTAGGTGTCACCCACTAGTTTGATGGCCATGCCATTACACTTTACAACTACCCATTCAAACAGGTTGGAAAACTTCAAAAACTTCTTGCCCTTCTATCCCAACCAATTCTCTATTGGGGGAAAAAAACAAGTGAACTCCTAAATATTTGGTTGAAATAAAACACTTTAGGTAAAAGGCAGGGGAGCGGGTGTGAGAAAGAGGAACCACAGACGAGATCCTTCCCCCTTTCTCCCACCTGTCTTCACCCCTGGCCTAGTAAGTAACCACAGTGCCTAGGGCATAGGTGGCCTGTTCGTTCAGCCCGAGACCTGAGTTTCTCTCCACCCTACATCTTGACTGGGCAGGAATTATGTATGAGGGCAGGGAGCTCAGATCCTGTGACTGATTTCCAGCCCCCCGCCCCGCCCCGCCCTGGCAACTGTGGTGGGCTCTCACCTCCGGCCTGGATTCACATTGAAGCATTGCCAGGCAGATCACCTAACCTCTCTGAGCCTGTCTCTTCCTCTGTAAAATGGAGATCCCTTCTCCACCTGCTCCCTGTCTTGGGATGCTAAACCTCCATGGTCTACAGCAGGGCTTCTCAACCACGGCCCTATTGACATTTTGGGCCAGATAATTCTTTGTTGCAGGGGCCGTCTTGTGCACCTCTACAGATGGGACCAAATCCCCACCCTGGCCCCCAGCATTGAGAACAACTGGTAGGAAGGAGGGAGGGTTGTTTGTTCCCCAGGCTCCTTCCCGTGGGTCACCTTGTGCTGGCTGTATTTGGAACTAAAGGTGATGACAACTCTTCTGATAGCCCCACTACTGCCTTTGTGAACAGTCCCTAGTAATCCTGTTGATACTGCCCGATATAACACCACCCCCATTAAGGTATTTAATAAAATACTAAGTGGAATAGTAGAAAGTGCTTAGCACATAGCACTCAGTACAGGTGAGCTCTGGTTATTGGTTACAGTGTACGGGGCTCATGGAGGGCACTGCATGGAGGTGGGACAGGTGTGAGAGAAGGAAGGGGCAGCTGTTCTTCCGGGCACACACGCACACACCTACCTCTCTGTCAGGTAGCTGATGAAGTCTGGATGTAGTAGCTTGAATTTACTGGCAGAGGCTTCTGGTCCAAAATAGGTGTGAGGCCTAGGACCCATGATAGAAGTGGACAGAGCGCCCAGGACCATCGTATTGCGAGAGCGAGGGGAGGGGCAGCAAGCTGGGTCGCCTGCGGTAGGTGGAGCGGTGGGGGCGGGGGTGGGAGTAGTAGCGGGAGAAGGGGGTGTAGAAGGTGGCCGGGAGCACGGTGGGGACCACGTGTGGCTTCCCACCCACCAGGACCTCGATGGGCAGGGAGTAGGAGAGAGAGGAGGGGGGCGTGAACAGAGTGGGAGGGGTTGGGTAGGAACAGTTATTTGGGGGGTGGTGGGGGGGCGGGGGGGGG